CTTCTATTGCGTGCGATCTACGTTGATCAGAAATCCCCCCCCCAAAAAAAAACGACCGATCCGGAAACGCCTGAAAAGGAGGCTAGGACATTGACACTCATGAAAAAGTACACAGATGTCACAGATGAACGGTCCCAAGTCAAACATCTGCTTGGAGAGCACAACATATGGTTTACCACAAACCCCGACTGTTGTCAATGTGCATTCTTATTTCAATAACTCTTCGTGATTCATAACAAAGGAATGAAAAACAAGCAAGGACGGTGTCGTACTTTGTCCTCGACTAAAACTTTGATTGAATGCTCCAAAGGATTTCAACGACCCCGCTGTGCATGCTGTGACAGGCATTATTTACAGTGATAATTAACACCCTTTGCTTTCTCCTTTGTTGTGTTTCCTACCGTAACAGAAAACTCCAGTTCGCTCTCGAGTCTGTGATTTCTTTCAGCTTTCTTTGCGATTTCTCGACGGTGAAAACTTTTACTCGACGTTTTAGGAGATCACACTTCTATATATACCTTGTTGTTGTTGTCCTTGTTTAACGTCTAATATATCGCTAGACGTGTTCTCTTGGTGGTCGTTTTCGCGTGGTTCAGTTCAGAGTCAAAAAGTCTCTCTAGGTATTTAACTCTTGTCTTGGTGCCTTGTGCTTGAGTGAAGCTTGAAGTGTCTTTATGAGAGCACATTGAAGCAATGTGTACACTCAATGTACCGGGAGAGGGCTAGGTACATCTGGTTGTTCCATAAACGAATACCCATGTGAGGGAATTTGGTTTCACCTTCGACCTCTAGGGATTATAGACAACGTTTCTTTTAAGTTGTTTTGGTGTAGAATTGTAGATGTACTTCTGTGTGTGTTTTGATAACCCTGGCTTCACTATCAAGTCGCATTGCGTACGGAAAACAGTTATTGCACATAGTTGTACTTACACTAGTAGAAACTTCACTGTAGCTGGAAATTATAAAAAAAAAGGAAACAGTGCACATTGCGTTGACCATGAGACTGGCACAAGTACAAGTACTTTTTGGGTTCAAGTTAGATGATTACTGAGATTAGTTCTGCTTACCTTGACCGACGGTCTCTGTGCAATGGCGTCCGTGCTTCTGTAGAAAGACAGGTTTCCAGGGAGGATAAAATCTTACAAAACAACGTGGTCTTGTACCAGTGTAACAGCGGCACAGTACAGCGTTTGACGCGATTATCGCCTAGTTGTTAGTGGCTCACAGGATAACAAAAGAACTTTTGGAAGATTACACATGGCATAGGGGGTGATTTGGTTACATAGTGTGTTTGTAGCAGCAACAAAATGATGTTTTGAATGTATTTGTCTTCGCAGTTTTGGTAGAAATTAATTCTGTCAAATTTCAGATACAATACGAACTACATGCATTCTTCATAAAAACATGTCTATGGTTGATTGAAAATGGCAACTACCCCAGAGCTGAATGGTTTAGTCCTCATAATTGGCTAATTAACATATCGCACTCTGGATTACTTGTTTTGTAGTCTCAAGGATATGAGGGAGGTTCAATCATTGAACTCGAACAGACACTTGAAGCTAAAAAGTAAAAGTAGAAACTTGCGGAATTTCCTCCAAATGTGTTAATGCGAACCTAAAGCTGGCAAACTGTTTGATGACAATTGTTGAGTGCCGATTTCTCAGTAATTTTTTGAAGCCCTCAGAGAAGTCTGGAAGCGACTACTTCTTTGACCGAATTACATACGTAGAAATCTAATATCTACAACTTCCGATTACAATTGAAATTGTGAATTTATAAGTGATTGATCTAGAAAAACAATCCCAAGTATACCACGAACAACATTTCCTGTTATATTTACAATCGTATTAAATCTACACTCACTGATCTCCCCTAAATTTCAATGGCACAGTCCAGGCCCTGAGGTAAGGGTTTTTCCCTTCGTCATCATCATCGCTCCAACATGGCGTTCAATTTTGGTGGCGCTAAGACCACGGCCAGCGTAGCGCCGCTTTTCGGCGGCTTCGGGACAACTACAACCTCGGCACCATCCACAGGTGAAATTGTAGCGTTATGCAAGAGTTAGAATGATTTTTTAGTTGCCATAGAAGTCTGTGTCTTGGCGTAGAAAGAGCCTGTGAGTTGGTGGGGAGGGGGGCAAATAAAATTAAAAGTTTAAAAAAGATGGAAAGTGCGCACGTCTGTGACTGGAAGCAAAGGAGCTTCTTGTCTAGAGAAATATACACGTTTATAATGATATGATAAACATGAATATATTTTCATATCTCTTTCCTTAGAATACTTTCCAAAAATCCAAAATATAATTTGTTAAATTTTAGGATATGAATTTTATTTTATACAGGTAACTGTATATAACTTGGTTCCAAGCATACATGTATGATGGAGTGTGATATTGTTACATTTTCCGGCCACCATGATTCTCTGACAGCCTTGTTAAGAAGAAAAGTGCCTCACAAGCTCCTGGCAATCAGATTGTAGGCCACAGCAAGTAAATTTTATGGATGATATCCACGGCAGACTCCAAATCTAATGCGAGCGGGCGAAAAAAAACAAGGCGGGCCGAAAAAAAAGGTTCCTTCATTTTAAAATTTTGACTCAATCATGGTACAAGGATGGTTTTGATTCAGTGGGAACATCACATATACACAGCCAACATCACATATCACTGTATCAAAGTAAGAAACAAAACATTTAATCAGAGCCTTTTCTTGTCTCCTCTCTTCATATTTATCTGCCATCCACGTTCCGGCATCGCAACAGGCATCTCTGCCCATTTTCGACATGGTGACCACTGTCAGAAGGCAACAAAAATTCTTGTTTTTTTCCCCCAAATCAGCCGAAAATTAATGCTCGCGCTGATGTCATCCATAAAAATTACTTGCTGTGGCCTTATCATTATAAACATTTAGGGCTATCATCGCCTAATATCTGCTTGGAGATAAACTAGACGTGACTGAACATGATATTTTGTACCCAGGTTTCACGTTTGGTGGGTTTGGACAGACCACCACTTCAGCTCCAACGTTTGGGTTTGGAACGGCAACAACTTCTGCTCCTGCTTTTGGCACTGGTAAGAACTTCAAGGTTTTACTACTTCTAGCTAGGATGTAATTTTAGCATAGTGGTACTGGCCGCCTGTCAATGGGCCTCAGGGCTCGAAATTAACATTGTCCCAGTGTCAAATGACACTAAATTTTCAGCTTGGGACAATTCAAATTACGTTTCGGGACAATTTGGGGGCAATTGGAAAATTCTGAGACCATCCACGTCATTTGGGAATGCGATCATTCGATCCTGTTGCAGACTGCCGGCAGCCCATAATACTCTGACAAACATTTAGATTTGACCAATCGGGGAGGGGGACCTCAAAGATGGTGCCGTGCCCATGATATTATCATGCATTTCCCTACATATACTAGTAATAAAGTGGACTTCAAGTTGTACAAATTCAGTTGTTGTTTTCTTATTGTTGTCATAAACTTATTTCCTGAAAAGCGCTGCAGGCTGGGACAGTTCATCTTCAGTACAGGACAATTCAAATGTATCTTTGGGACAATTCTGGGACAATAGTAAAAAAAGTTAATTTCGAGGCCTGGGCCTTCCTTCTGTGGTGCGGAGCTTTTAAAAATTTGAGGTGAAAAAGGGGCCATTTGAGGGATACCCAAAGGGGAAAATGTTATTTCTAAGGTATGTACAATGTATCCTTGATTGGTAATTTTCCACATTTGATCTGGCATTCTTGAACAAAGAAATACTGTATACAGTCACAATGCCCCTATGCTGTATGTGAAGGGGGGAAATTTAGCGTAGGGGGTTAAGATTATAGCATAGGGGGGAAATTATAGTGTAGAGGGTCAAAATTATAGCATAGGGGGCCACTACGCTACTTTGTGCTAGCTAGAACGCTGAACTTTAACCTGTATAAATTTCAACAACTGAAGAAAAGGCCGCCATTGTATTAGCCTGGTTACCAGACCTATTGTAGCTCCCAAGTCATACATCCTCTTTGGAAATACTTGGTATATATAGGTAACCAGGCTATTATTGTATAGTTAAACATGTGGTTGGAATTATCTTCATAATGTCTTCAGAAAGGTTGCTTTGATAATAGTAAATTTCACTCTGTGGTAGCTCTGAGCATGAGTCCAGGGGTTGAAATAGATTTTGGGGTCAACTTGCACTGGTGCAGATGAAAAAAAAAATTACTTGCACCAAAAACAAATACATGTAGCTGCACCCCCCAAAAATAAAAACAACCAAAAGTACATAATACAACTATAATAGTATCCAATATAACCTACACTGTTGTGGGGATAAGCTAACCATGGCAGCAACTTAGATAGTAACCTTCTAGTTCTAGTAATCATAAAAAATGAAGAAAAACTCCCTGGATTCTGGTTTTGTTACCCTTTCAGTTAAAGCTTACTTGCACTGGTTCACATCGCTAAAAAATTAGTTGCACGGCACCAATTTTACCTGCACCAACTTGCACACAGAGGGGTATTTCAACCCCTGATGACTGAATTTGTGAACTGTTCAACACCTGTGGTATTTATTTAATTTTCAAAGACACCTGGGTAGCTCCTTCAGCCAATAGCTGATTTCCAAGGAGGCCCAGGGGGGTACAATAAGTAAAAGAATAATAGATTATACAAAGTACATAACAAAAGATGTAAATGAAATCAGTATAACTGGAAGTTATACATAAATAAATGAATAATACGAAGTTCAACATGAACTGAGGGAATTTACAAGAAAACATAACTTCAAATTATAATCATAATCAACGTAAATCAATTTCCGTTCAAAATGATTTGAACGTAATTTCTGTGTTTCAGGCCTGGGTGCTACAGCCACCACCACAGCACCTTCTCTGTTTGGAGGAGGTAAGTTTGGAGTCAGTTTGAGCCTTTTGACAGCCCAAAAGTACTGAAATATTCACAGTATATTCCACCCTGAACTCATCACACCAACTAACAGGCACTGGCGGCTACCATTGTTTCAACCATGAACTCAAAGATACATGTATCAGTATCATAGTCTCAAAAGTACCTCACCTGTTTATAAGAATTAAGAAGTCTTAGAAGACAGTAGCCAGCCATTTCAGTAAGACAGCATGTACCAACAGTGTGGTATCTATGTCTGTTCCAGGGCTTGGTTCCACCGCTCCAACCACAACTACCTCCATATTTGGAGGAGGAGGTAGGCATACTTCCACCTTATTGGTACAACAACACACTGATCTAATTGTCTTCGTCAGAAGGACTATGAAATTGTCTCGCCGGAGTGTGGGGAACTGCGGATTTTGCGATATAACTCTGGAAGGCATGATTCGACGTCCATGATTTTTGGCAGGCATATTACCGCTGTTGAGGCCGAAGTCAAGTACAAGTTTCGGCTTCGTGGGGGGTCCGTGCGTCACGTTAGTGCACCTTTTGTGTTTGTGGCTTGTTAGCAAGATAACTCAGGTATTTGTAAAATGTTGATTATAATTCTTGGTTTGGTGTTTACTATTGTTGGGACCAAGGTTAAGTTCGTTACTGAGCGTCGTGGGGGGTTTCGTTGTGACTACAGGGGGCATTTTGTTAATTTTTCTTGTGAGCAGGATAACTTTTGTATGTGTGGATGGAAGTTAATGAAATTTGATAGGCATATTACTGTCGTGGTCTCCAAGATTGAGTTCAAAGATGAGAGTTGTGGAGGTCGTTATGTCCCCGTAATAGGACCTTTTGTGTTTTGAAATCCCCACCTACATCTGCTTGGAGACAGCCGACAGCTGGATATAGCCGGGGAACCCCATAATGGGATGGGATCAAATGACGTTACATTGAGGGATTGTACTATAACTTCAGCAGGGGGAGGATAGGTTGGACATATGTCATGTTATTTTCTACAGCCACACCAAGTAATTGCTATGGATGACGTCCACTGGAGACCTTAAATCTAATTACCTTAGATTTAAGGCAAGCGCGCAATAAAAACACGAAGGGCCGAAAAACGAGGTGCCTAGATTTGGAATATACTAACTGTAGAAGTACAAATGTTAGGACACAAAGAACACAAGAAACAAGTCTTCTATTTGTCATAAAGACAAATTAACAAAACAGCAGTAGTCACCCTGTTCTGATTCTTTCCTTTATAACATCTTCTCTTATCATATTTTGCGGCGCTGTCGTGACACTTTCAACACAGTAAGAATTTCTGGAACGTTTTTTTTTTCCAGTAACAGTTCCAAACTCAAATAACGTGGGGGGGGGGCTAACACGGGTGACGGCGCATCTGTATAATCTGCGGCAAACCGTTTCAGGGTGTTCTGTACCATAAAAATAGTACGGAGATTCTTTTGTTCTTTAGACCAAATTGATAATTAAAAAGAGTAAAGAATACGCATGTTAATTTCTCTAGAATGATGTACCTCTGACGAAGACATGAGATCTCCGACCTCTAGTTTAGTCTTGGTTCTCATGATTTTCTTAAAAGTGAAATGGCAATTTAATGGGCAAATGTGTTACTGTTTTCCCCAGCATTCGGTACTCAGCAGCCAGCCCTAGGGGGCCTTGGGGCCACGACGTTTGGTGGATTTGGCGCTCAGCAGCAACAGAAACGTGAGTACTGACCTCTCAGCAAAATCATGATACCACCAATATATGTTTTCATTGTGTTACTATCAATAATCGTCCATTTTTGACGGACAAAATTCAGTGTTTAAGTATATGGAAAGAAATGTCATTAAATCAAGCTTAGTCTACCAGCAAAATTTCCCCCTCAAAATGCCAGAAATGGTATTTCAGAGGGTTTAGATTTCAAAATTTTCCTGGGGGCAAGAGAAGGTAGATACAAGATGTTACGTGAAACAAAATTGAGCTGATAGATTCAGGCTGGCCAGAACACTACTAGTACCGTGCTAATTTGTTCAGCCAGGTTAAGGAGATTAAGTGTTGAATTTTTTCTTGTTGTATCCGTCCTCCAGCCGGTATCTTCGCACAGCCGACCAGTGCACAGAATAACGTCCTGTTGAACACGGCCACCGCCCTGTCCATGCCGACGGTGTTCAACGATGAACGAGACGCGGTCCTGGCCAGATGGAACCAGCTGCAGGCCTTCTGGGGGACGGGGAAGGGCTACTACAACGGGACGGCCCCACCGGTGGAGTTCACGTCAGAGAACCACTTCTGCAGGTTTAAGGTGGGTTAGAGCTGTGTACCTGAACAGATTTTAGGTACAGGTATGGGTACACGTACTCTACACAGGTAAAGTACCCGGTACTGAAGGATTAGGTATTTTGGACCTGTACCTAATCAATACAATATTGGTACTGGTACACAGCCCTAAGGCGTGCTGTTTGTTTGTTAGGATCCCCATTAAAAAAAATTTAGTGGCCAATGTGCAGATGTTGTTACTTCGGGGCACCAAATCCGTTGTGTGTTTTTGGCACACAGTTAGACAGATTTGACTAAGAGGCTCGGTGGGCGTCACTCCACCGTATAGATGGGGAAGTCATGTAAAGTGCCTTTCCCAAGGGCACAACATCGGGCCACGGTGAGTATCGAACCCGGGGACTCTTGGTTCCGAGTCCAACCGTTGCGCCATTAGTGTTACATTATTGACACTATTCTTCCAGGAGTCTGTGGTAACACAATTGAGTACATTGTATGATAGAAAGAACAAAACTTATACTATCGCTGGACAGAAGATGAACAAAATCAAATCAGGTAGCCTGTGCAAGGCTACTACATCTTAGGACAGTTATACGTTCAATTGTACATGTACCTGTATCTGAACAAACTAAAACTGTGATACTATTTTTTTATATCCTTGACACTAAAGCATCATGAAAATTGATAAAACGTGTTTTCCCCCAGGCTGTAGGGTACAGCTGTATCCCCTCGGCGAGAGACGAGGATGGTTTAGTGGCGCTGGACTTTAACAAGAAGGACCAGGATGTGAGGAACGCGCAGCAGCAGCTGGTGGAGTCTCTACACAAGATCCTGGGCAGTAAACCCACTCACAGTGTCAACGTGGAGACTGTCAGGCCTCTGCCAGGGGACAAGTATGTGTTCTTGTGTTGACAGCAGTGTTCGAAATACCTGTCTGCAGTCTGCAATCTGCAGATAGATTTTCAAGATTGCAGAAGAAAAATTTATACAATCTGCAATTTTGCAGCAGGAAAAATTGGCACTTGGGATTTGACACTTTTGGCCCCAAGGACAGACAACAATTAAGCTCCTGTTCTGAAACAACAGGAGCTTCTTCACTAATTTGCATCAACCTTGTCTTGACTTGTTTATCTTTTGTTTCCTTTTGGACTTCTAAAAATTTGTCTTCACTAATTTGCATATCAATCAATAGTTCATGCTTATAAACCTGCAGGATTGTAGTATGGAGGCTTGTGTATTTGCAGAAGGTATTTCCAAATTGCAGAACAAAATTTTTACTCTTCTGCAATATTGCAGAGCTCTGAAAAAAAGTATTTCGACCACTGGTTGACAGTCATGAAAGTTCATCTGTGTTGGTAGTTACATGTTTAAAGTTAAAACTTTTAGTCCAACACAAAAAATTCTCTCACCTAGAGCTTTTGACCAGTCACTCTGGTCTTCCTCAGTAGACTGACCCAGTGAAGCTTGTCACGTGACTTCTTTGAAGTGTGACGTCAACACTGGGTCAAAGGTATCTGGTAGACGATGTCGGCCCCCGTTGCGGTTCAATGTAGGGTGATGGGCCCTGATGTAAATGGCTTCCTTCACCCCTCTCAAGAAATAGTCTTGTTCAGTGTCTAAAATCCTTACAGAGTCAAGTGAAACAAAATGTCCGGGTGACTCTATGTGAATGTGTTGAGACACCTCTGAACTAGCAGTGTTGACAGTAGTTACGTATTATACCATGTGTAGATAGTGGTTAGTACAAAAAATGCAGTTTTAATGTGTGGACAGTAGTTAGCAGTCTGTGGATAATGGTTAGTAGTACTTGTAGTTTTAATGTGTGAACAGCTAGTAGTTAGCAATTTGCATGTGTGGACGGTGGTTAGTACATGTTGTTTGCATGTGTGGATAACTGTAGTTTCTATGTGTGGATAATGGTTCCATGAGTCGTGCCATGTGTGGATAATAGTAGTTTATATATAGATAGAAATTAGTAGTTTTTATTTGTGGATAGCAGTTAGTAGTTTGTATGTGTGGATAGCAGTTAGTGCAATGTAGTTTGTGTCGATACCGAATAATAGTTTGTATGCATGGATAGTTAATTGTTTGTAAGTATGAACAGTTTTTAATAGTTAGTAGTACATTGTATCTACATTTATGTGTGGATAGACAGGGCCACAAGGCACATGTATACATGTAATTGAACAAGGCTTGTACATAGCATAAAGCATATTGTGGGGTCGTGTGGCGCAGTCGGTAGCGTGTTCGGCTCACACCCGAGAGGTCTTGGGTTCGAACCCTGCCCATGTCACCGATCTTGTGCCCTTGGGAAAGGCACTTTACACGACTTTCCTCACTTCACTCAGGTGTAAATGAGTACCTAGCTTCGGCTAGGGACGTCCCTCGGATAGGTCCTGTGTTAGGGACAGCCACACCCCACACACGTTAAAGAACCCACCGCACTTATCGAAAAGAGTAGGGGACCTTCCCGGTATGAGTGGTTCAAAACCTTACAGTCTGGTCTCGGGGTTGACATCTTTGAAGAGGTGATAGTCACCTGTTATGTCAATCCTTCCACAAATGTGGTAAATCGTCATAAAATAAAATAAAAATAAAATAAAATAAAAAATTGTTTTGGCACTTCCTTTCCAGGTCAGAAGTTGTCATATACATCATCGAGCGCAATCCCAACGGCACGTCTCGGCGGATCTCTGCCTCGGAACTCTTCAACTTCTTAAACCAGAACCACGTCAAGACGCAGCTAACCCAGCTGGGCGTGGTCAACATGGTCGCCAAGACAACCCTCACCGCAGCACAGGTCAAACAGCTGACTGATACCCCTCCTGCAGGTGAAGTTCAGCTGTGAATTGCAAGGGGGAGCAGTTGCTGCAGTCCTGCCATTCAATTTATTAAAATTTAGTCTGTGTACACTAACTATCCTTATAACCCACTGATGTAAAATTCTTACCATTTCAAAGTTACAGTAGTTTTCTTTAAGTCTTATAGTTGGCATAAAAAGTCACCTCATTCCTGTAAAATCTTGTAAAAAGTTGTGGTACAGTATTCTTTGGTGTAGTTTTTGTTCTCCTGGATAACATCTCTACAGAGAACTCAAACAGGGTCCGACATTGTGTTGCTGTAATTGTTTCAACTGCAACCTCAAACACAAACAAGAAAGCTTGTAGAGTACTGCTCAGATTTTTTACAGTAGACAGGAATTGCAACTTTTAACTTTGTCATCCATGAACATCCATGTAATGGAAAATAGATTTTGGACAAACGTTACTGTCTTTTGCCCTCAGGCATAGATCCTCTGATATGGGAGCAGGCCAAAAAGGACAACCCTGATCCTGAAAGGTGCAATATTAATTTCTTTTTTCCTGTATATCATGATTGTGCAATAATGGACAATGATGTCCTCAAACAATTTGGTTCAGTGCTGCTTGTGGTCTAAATGATACCAGATAGGGCTTGAAATACCACCTGCACATGCAGGTTAATGCAGGTAAAATTGGAGCTATGCAGGTATTTCTGATGTCTACTTGCACATACATACATGTATGTATCCTGCACTGGTTCATGTATGGATTAATAGAAATAATGGCAATGTTTGTTAACAGTTTTTAGGATGATCCATACTTCATAAATTATGAGTGGTGCAGGTAAACTTTGCCTGGTGCTGGTAAAATTTGCCTTTTTCTGCATACCTGCACCAGTGCAGATATGCAGAAAAAGAAGTATTTTGAGCCCTGCATGTACATGTCTGACCAGTGTTGCCTGTCCCTCCAGACTGATCCCAGTGCCCATGATCGGGTTTGGTGAACTTCACCGTCGACTGAAGCTACAGGAGTACCAGACTAAACAACACCAGGGGAGGCTGGATGTAAGGAACTTGTCACATTGTACAAGTTATTAACCTTCTCCTGCTGGCATTCCTGGCACAATATTTTTCAATAATTTCATGTCTTAATTAGATCATAGACCCCCAAATGTTTTTTCCCTGCAGTGGCATTGTTACTTGCGCATTCGTTGTGTTTTGCTGCGGTGTGATGCGTTGCACGAGAAATACCCCCAAATTGTACCTATACAGGGTGCTATATAGATGGTACTGTATGTGCAGAACGACAAATGTTGAGCTCAGCAGGACAAGGGTTAATACAATTTTCATGTATGACCAACAGCATGAAGATTGGATGTATGTAACTTGGGCACAACAACCAGGAAGCCAAAACCAATATTTATTGGATATTGACAAAAAATGAAAATTTTCTTCTTCTTCAGAAGTTTTTATGTTTGTCACAGGAAAAAATATTGTTTTTGCTCTTTTTGGTCTTCTTCTTCTTCCATTCCAAACACTGACCTCTGACCTGGTTAATGACCAGACTGTCTCTCACCATGGTAACTGGTGTTGGGTTACATCATGTTGCAATTTTATAGTAGGGTAGGGATTTAGACTCCTGTCACCATATATGGGAATGTGTTTCAGTAAGAATAAACAGAGCAGACCATATGCAAAGATAAACATTATGCATTTGCTTTGCCAATGACACCTTTCTAGTTACTTTTTCTGTTTGTTGCTGTGATATTCCTGTGATCTAGGACTACTTGTACTTGTTACAATGAGACATTCGAAGGTGCAGGGTAACATGTTATGTTTCCCTTCAGGCCATAGCAGGCAACATCACAGGGATCCAGGGTAACATGTCCACCATGCAGTCTAAGATCCAGCAGTACAGAAGGAAGCTACAGGAGTTGTCACACAGGGTACTCGAGGTGAGAACAAGAAATTGTAAGACGGAAAATAGCTTGCTTGACAAGTCTGCAAGCTTAAAAGGACATTTTTGGCAGTAATACAGTAGTACATTTGGCCAAAGAACCAATAGAATGGACTGTGTGTCCTCATGATGGACATTCTTCAAATTTTCTTAATTTTTTACCTCCGGGGGAGGAGACATCCTTCCGTGGAAAGGTTTTGTGAGAGATTTAGATTTTCATGTTCGCAGCTGTTTCTCGTGTTTGGGTGGACGGATTCTTTTGAGACTCGGTATATGTTTTGCTATTGGGCTGCAGATAATGCACGTTCTTTTGTTTTTATTGTATATGTGTTTTCGGGCGTGAAAATGGTGCCTTTTGGTGGCCCCAGAACACCCCTTTGAGCATGAAAGTTGTTGCGACCGTTGACCTTTGGCGTGTATTAGGTATTGTCGGTCTCATCCACGAAGGTGACCCCTCGCACAGAGGGGTGTCTGATCTCGATAAATTCTTTGTTTAAAACCCCAGTTGTTGTAAACAACATATAGAAATATACAATAAAAAGTCTGGAGGTATAAAATCTCAGATTTTACTTGTTTAAGTTTGTGATTACTAAGTTTGTGCTTTCTGAATGCTGTTTCTTTGTAGCCCATCAGGTGTTTTTAGAGTATTTTTCTAGCATGTGAACATGTAAATGATGTGTTGCCTGTACTTCAGGTGCTGATCCGCCAGGAGGCGTACCGAAAGAGCGGTTACGCCATCCAGGCTGACGAGGAGCAGCTACGGGTACAGCTGGAGGCCATACAGGTGGAGCTTAACGCCCCCATGCAGTTCAAGGTAAAACTGCAGCCTTCAAAATCAGGCACCACTTCTCCTTCTCAGTGACGGTTCAGGTTGACTCTTACTTTCTGCATCATACATTTCATGTATTTTATTTCTTTCCTGCCAACATATTTTGTAGGAAAAGTGTATCTTTTATTGGTAGTAAAGTTGTGTTGTTCTAGCAGTGTAGATGTCATCTATGCTTTATCTATACTGTTGTACCCTCAGTCCATAGACGGTTAAATCCCTACAGTAACTATTTAACCCTTTGTTGCCCAGGGACATCTGAATGAGCTGGTATGTCAGTTGTATGTACCCTCAGTCCATGGAAGGTTAAATCCCTACTATTTAACCCTGTGTTTCCCAGGGTCGTCTGAATGAGCTGATGTCCCAGATTCGGATGCAGCAGATGCCCAGTGGGAGGGCGGAGGACAGGTACAGCATGGAGGCCACCATGCAGGAGGAGCTCAGACAGGTACAGACCAGGGGTCATGGGTTCTAGTCCCACAGCTGAGACATGTATTATGTACATGTACAGATTGGGATAGGGGGGTTTGTGGGTTCTAGTCCCATTAACCGGGGATCAGGGGTCTAGGGTTCTAGTCCCACAGCTGAGACATGTACATGTACAAAGAGGGATCAGGGGTTATGGGTTCTAGTCCTATGACTGAGACAGGGGACCAGAGGACCAATTTTTAGTCCCACAGCTATAAATATAGGTACAGACAGGGGACCAAGATTCTGAGATCTACTCCAATACACTGGTGTATATATGAGGGGATCAAGGGTTCTAAGTTCTAGTCCTACAGTTCAGTGTACAAAATACTTTTTTGAACTAGGTGGGCCCAGTGGGCAACCTATGGCAAAAATTAGGTTGCCCATCAGAATTTTAGGTTGCCCCACCTGTAAGTTACTACTTTAAGTAATGTTAAGTAATGTTACATACATAAGCCTTTGACAATATTTCTAAGTAATATACTAGTAATAGCCATTAATACCTAACATCAAAAAGCATCTGCCAGAGACAGTGGTGCAAGCAAAGTGGGCATGATTTTGTGGGGGGGGGGGGCATTCTTAAAATTCAGGTAGCACACTGGGCTACCTAGGTTCAAAAATACGTTGTCCCAAGTAGTATTTGGTTGCCTGGGGCAACTGGGCAACCAGGTATTTTGCACACTGTACTTCTACAGATAAGGACACAAATTGTCCTGTGTTCTAGCCATACACATCAGAGCATCCATGATGTTAGAAAATACAAGGCTTTAGTCAGAATTTATCTGCAAGATTTTGGCAACACCTCGGGTGTGGAGACTTTTAGTAATGTATTGTACAATGATGAACTATATTTAGAAAAAAAATTCCCTGAGGTTTGAATTTCTATTTCCCCTCATTGGCATGGAGGTTCTGACTGCAGGGCAAAAAAAGGTCTTATCCACTGAGTAGAAAAATATTTATTTGTACCTTGTTATCGTTTTATTATGAAAAACTTAAACTGTTCTCCAACTCAAAATTTGACTCACCAGAAATTTTCGACTGAATCACTCAATCTTCCTCAGCTATCTGACCCAAATGCTGTGGACACGTGATTTTTCCCACGTGTGACGTCAGCAAAGGGTCAAAGGTTGTCGGAAGTCTTTGCGTCAGATAGCTGAGGAAGACTGAGTGATTCAGTCGAAAATTTCTGGTGAGTCAAATTTTGAGTTGGAGAACAGTTTACGTTGTTCATAATGTAATTTACCAACTCAGATGAACTTTCGTGCTGTTGTTATCGTTTCTTTGAATCATCACATTTTACACTCCCTCCCACAGCACCTGAAGCAGCAGCAGGAAGGTCTGACTCACCTCATCAGCATCATCAAGGACGACATGGAGGACCTCAAGGTCATAGAACAGGGGCTGGCAGAGGTCACACAACACCACAGGAGATAGCACAGAGTAGGCAAGGTCATAGGACACAAGGTCATAGATCACAAGGTCATATAACACAAGGTCATAGGACACAAGGTCATAGAACACAAGGTCATAGAACACAAGGTCATAGCAAACAAGGTCATAGAACACAAGGTCATAAAACATGGACTGGCAGAGGTCACACAACACGACAGGAGATAGCATAGAGTAGGCAAGGTCATAGAACACAAGGTCATAGAACAGGGGCTGGCAGAGGTCACACAACACCATAGGAGATAGCACAGAGTAGGCAAGGTCATAGAACACAAGGTCATATAACACAAGGTCATAGCAAACAATGTCATAGGACACAAGGTCATAGAACAGGGGCTGGCAGAGGCCACACAACACCACAGGAGATAGCACAGAGTAGGCAAGGTCATAGGACACAAAGTCATAGAAGACATGGTCGTGGAACAGGGGCTGTCTGGTTACACAACACCATGGGAGACAGCACAGAGAAGGCAAGGTCATTGGGCCCAAGGTCATAACACTCAAGCTCACAGAACAGGGGCTGGCAGAGGGCAGACAGCGCAATTACTTTTTCAATTTCATTTAGAGTCTAAAGTTAAACACCTAATGTAGGTACTTGCTTACCATGTACAAAGAATAACAACCTAATCCTATTGGCATTTAGAAGATTGGACTTTTATACATCATTCAAGGATCATCTAAATGTAATTGGACTTTAATCTGTTTCTTGTAAACATAACTTGTCAGTTGAGCTATTTTGATAGTTTCAATAAAGTTGTCTACATCCAGAGTGCCATTGATAACTTCACATAAACAATTGATGACTTCACATTAACATGAACATGAACATGAACAGACACTTCCACAGTGATTGCTATTGTAATCTTTCTTCTTTTGGATGATGCAAACTTGCTACCATTCTGAATGTTAGGAATATGCAATATCTTAATTTCAAAACTCTATAAAGCATCAACCTCCACATTCCTTAATTTTTTTTAGTTATTTCAATAAAAGTAAAATAACGTTCCATGAATGCTCTTCATGATCTTACACCAATCTGTAATAGGTCTCTGACTAAGGCCGCCAGGGCATAAAAACATCTTTTAATTTCCCAATCATCCCTTTACAACACTGACTTGCACGTCTATTGCTATACCAAAACTTCATTAGCATTTCTGCTGAACGTTGATAAACATTACACAAGTAGTTATACCACATCATTGCTGAATGGATTTAGTATTGGATTACGCTCACTTGATTAGATCTACATGTACTTTTACACTTACACACAATAAGAACAGAAAGAAAGTAAAAAACTTCTTAAATGATAAAATGGCGGAAATGCCAACCTCACACTAGTGATTCGCTCATCTGATCCTCTGGTAAGTTTTAGTTCATTAGGCCACACCAATTTAATTTCTTGGTTAACTGATTCGCCGGCTTCATTTTTTCTGATTTGGAAATAAAAATAAAAATTCAGAATCAACTGCAAAATTTTCATATTTTGCCCTGAACAGTTGAAATCAGTCCTTTTCTTCCTAGTTGTTACAGTTATTCCATCTTTCAATGCAGTGGTATCATTAAAAGTTCCAAATTCATTGTTTAAATTTTGAACCAGCCTGGTGTGTTGACTTCATGGCTCCTATCGTATCATTTTGGGCCATAATAGGATGCCTAGGCCTGTTTTTATTTTTTTCGCCCGCCCGCTCTACCGCTCTTTCTAGGAAAATCCGTTAACCAAGAAATGAAATTGGTGTGGCCTTATTGCCAACTTTTACTGAGGATCGTCAACGAGTCAAGTCAGTAGTGGTCATTACAGCAGGTCCTGTTGACATGTCGCCTGCAGGTATTTTCTCAAAGCTCGCCCCATTATCCCATAGTCTTCTGCCCTGAAAACAGTGCATGAAATTAGAATCTTTAGATTGTGGATTGCTTTTCTGTAAAGCCTCGGTCACAACCCGCCGTTCATGCTGTCTACGTGCAAAAACGTGGGCAAATGTAGGGCATCCGTGCGTGGTGAGTACCGCCTCCGTACGGAATCCTACGGATTTGGGAACACGCAGACACGCCGTAGAACTTTAAGTGCATGTAAAAATACACACCGACACACCCAGCAGGCCTGAAGACAATGCTCCCCAAGCCGCACACCTTCAGACGCACAGCCAGAACTAGCCTTGCTATGCCATCCCACGCACTTGCACAACCGGTATCTAGAACCAGCTCCACTGGCCGGACCTTCATCCACACTGGAGTTCAGATCTGGAACCAACTCCCAGACACCTTTGTGGGTAACATCAACAGCAACGGCCTGCAGTCCTTCAAAGTCAGAGTCCATCGACACCGCCTTCATTGCAACTGAGAACTTGGCAGCTGTGAGCCACTGATTGCCCACTGATTGAGCCATTGTACAATCAGTGGGTATTGCTCACTACAGCACATTATATATATATATATATATATATATATATATATATATATATATATATATATATATATATATATATATATATAAAGATTTTTCTGCGTGCGGTTTACGGATTCACCACCCGTGCGTGCGAGTACGGGCGACGCGCGTGCCCCGTACGTACCGTATGAAAGACGCACGTGTGAGTACGGCCTCCTTACGGTAAAGTTGCAATCGCACAGAGATCGTACGTTGTAAGCACGTACAACTCACCACTTGCGCAAAAACGTACGGACAAAAAGCACGTACGGCGGGTTGTGACCGAGGCTTTAGTCTCATGGTTAAGGAAAGAAACCATGTCGCAGTTACGGTCAGGTGTGTGGGTAAGGTTAGGGGTTAGTTAAGCCCGTGCAGGTGGTCGTTTTGGTCCATTTTGCGGGGTTAGAATTTGGTGTCATCGGCTTTTCAGAGTGTATAGCAGACTTTAGGAACACCATTGGGGGAAGGGGTAGGACTGTAGTGTAATGTGTGCGAAAATTGCAAATGTAGATTGAAAGAATGGTATCATGCGAACATGTTCAGACCAAGAACTGCAACTGAAGGGCCTTAACTTTGACCTCAGACCACAATGCATCACGACTACACCTGCGCACTCGGAACTATAGGGTAACTATGGCATTCGATGTGCATGGAGTGATGAATACATTTTGGAATGTTTTCAACAAGTGAGATGTTTAAGTTACATACCTGGAATGACCTGACAGATGAAGCCGACAGCGTTGTTGCAGTCGTAGTCGGACCACGAGAGTCGCTTCTCGGTGTAGAGAACGCAGTCTTCAACGTTCAAGTTGTCCTTGTTGTCCGGTTGTCCCTCGCCCCACGCGTTGAACTCCCCAAGCGGAGTGCCGTCCATCCACTCAAAGCTCCCCTCTTCTCGCCGATCGTGCAGACCGAACCAGAAGTGGTCGTAGGCGTCCTCGGGTGTGTGTAAGGCGACGAGGAAGGCGTTGATGTCGGCATCTTTTGGCGCGGCTAGGGTGCCGCCTTCGAACAGGCAGGCCGTCGCCGCTTCGCTGAAGGTCCTGGGCGTCTTGAACTGCTTGTAGCAGATTCCACGGAACTCTGTGTAACCTTTGGGACAAGACGCTGAAAACAACGGTGCATTAGAAACAGGCACTTTAGACACTGAACAAGACTATTTCTTAAGAGGGGTGAAGGAAGCCATATACATCAGGGCCCATCACCCTACATTGAACCGCGACGAGGGCCGACATCGTCTACCAGATACCTTTGACCCAGTGTTGACGTCACACTTCAAAGAAACCACGTGACAAGCTTCACTGGGCCAGTCTACTGAGGAAGACCAGAGTGCTGGTCGAAAGCTCTAGCTATAGGTGAGAATTTTTTGTGTTGGACCAAAAGTTTTAACTTTAAACATGTAACTACCAACACAGATGAACTTTCATGATAGTAAAAACAGGCATGGTAACAGAATGGGCAATGCTATAGTTCCAGTGATTATTACCCCCATAAAAATTGAAGGTACGATATGCTTTTGGTGTATCTGTGGTCACTGGTTGTGACATGTTTTTGCAGCAGAGGATTTTCACAACTTTCTATAACACTGTTGAGTTGAAATGAAACCTTGCAAAGGGTAGGAATTTCACACAAAATATGTGTAATTTGAGTTGATTTCAGAAAACCATAAATTGGAATAGTTTATGCTAATTACAACCTTGTTTCTATAACTAAGGCCATGTTGATTTGATTATATGGATGACATCCGCGCGCGCATGAATTTTCGGCCGTTTCAAAAAAAAAAGTTTTCAACCATACTGTAAATCGTACACAACGGTTGCAAAATGAGCAAAAATATACCGTAAGTTACAAAAAAAAAACATACCAATGTCGTAGAATGCCAAAATCAAACGAAAAAAGACGAAATTGTAAAGAAATGAACTTGAAGACTAGATTATTCGCCAAACCATATTCTGTCCCATTTGTTCAACCCTCATGACCACGTAGATTTCATAATGAAAACAACTTTTTTTTGCAAAAGTTTTTTTTTTTATTCGCACGCGCGCATCAATTTTGGGGTTCCCGGAGGATGTCATCCATATAATCAAATCAACATGGCCTATGACCAATAACTAGCCTGGGTGCCATCCCCAGTAGTATATTCGCAAACTCTATAACTGGGTCTGGACTTGCACACATATAAAACGATTGGTCATGACGTCACGTAATGAGCTAGCCCGAGCAGCGGGGCTTCATTTGATTGGCTGAGCCTCAGAGGCGACGGCCAATGGCGCGCCTGTATTTATTCAAGTGATGTTTGTTGTTTTGTAAACACAGATCTTCGCGCGAGTGTTCCTTTTCTCGGTGCGTTCTATTTTGAAATTGTTCAATATGCATCTTTTTGCTCATTTTTGAGCGACGATATTCCGTCTAAATCGTCCAAAGCGGACGTGATTGCGAGGTCAACATCAACCTCCAAGAGCTGAGCGGCTTGTGCGTCAGCCCTGTTGATGATCGATCGCGGAAAGACTAAGGCCCACTTTACACTTGCTTTTTAAACTGTAGTACTACACATCGTAGTCTACTTCTGTAGTAGACTACAGCTTTCTTCTGGGTGTAAAGGAGAAAAGAATTGTAGTCTACTACAAAAGTCCACTACACCCTCCGAGGCTGTAGTACTACACTTCAGCGGAGGTTCTACGAGACTTTGAGCTGAGTGTAAAGCGAAACTGTAGCAGACTACACTTCGAAGGCGACAACAGGTCAGGGGTCACATGCAAATGAGGCTGTTTTGAATTTCCGCTCGAACACTCTGCGCCATTTTCTCTCACTCCGGACGCCAGATTCCTCTATCAACTGGCCCGCCACCCGCGATTGCAATCGCGGCGGCAAAGGTTGCAGGGTTGCGTCC